TGATCCCACCAATCTGTAAATATATTTTTATGTTTTGTTTCATTTCATTTTAATGTATTCTAAATGCATTTAATGCATCCTTAATGTACCTTTATTTGTAACTCTGGTCTGTGACTGTAATAAAGAAATCAGATTTGATCTGTGTTATTGCTAGCATATGTTTTTGAAAATAAAGATTTGTTGGAAAAAATTGTGATTGAAAAACCAGTCTTTCTGGAAAAAGTAATTTCATATACATGTAGGCCTAAGTACATTTGTTTTCAATTTTTCATTGTAATTTTTGTCACCGGTGCCAAGAAAGTTAAACAGTGTGTTCTCATTTCTCCCCCATTTGTCCTCCTTTCCAATTGTCCATGTCCTCCTTGTTCTGATATCTAGTAACCCTATCTAACAGGGACCCTCAGCCACTCAAATGAAAATATTATTCCCCAAATCTCCTTAGATTTCATACAATATTGACAGAATTGTTATCTTGTGAGATTTCAGGCATTTGGGGGGACATCTGTACCATTAGATAAGATCACATCACTTCTTAATGCCAAGGCCCCAAACAGACATAGGACAGTAAGCACATCTTGCCTGGACAAAACCTAATATTTGTCCCTGGGTAGCAGCTTTTTCCACCTGACATTGTTTAATGGAAGCACTGAACCTGGAGCTCAGGCATGCAAAGCTAGGGCAAAGATCCAGAGAACCACTGAATAGCAGTAAAGAGATGTGAAAAAAGTAACACTGTGCTGCCATCTGCTGCTCACCTGGATTCTTCAGCCCCAATATAGGAGCCAAATATAGTACATGAGTGGGTAGGGCACATAGATGACTTAGAGCAGTAGTACTTGAACTAGGGTAATTTGGGCATATTTGCAGCCATTTGTAATGGCTTGTTTGGGAGTCAAGGATCTGCCACTGCTAAGACTTGTGTAAACCAACAAAGCTTTTTTTTGGGGGGGGGGTGATTACATTATTTGAGAACGAGAAAAGGTCAAACAATTTAAGAACCACTGGTTTAGAGTGTCTGCCTTGTACAGGCATTGATTTTTCAGCCCAGATGTGATATAAGGCAGATACTTTAAGTTACGTGGGAGCCTGCTCACTCATACTAAACATTCCTTAAGACTACAAAGAAATTAATCTTTACAAGGGGAATATTTGCCATTATGATTCTATAGGCCTTTATCTGCCATTTCCTGTCCTCTTGTCCTGCAAGTGTTTCATTGTAGTCTAGATCATGCATTGCATAGATGCAGAACATTTACTTCCTTGGGTGACAATGACTCAGGACCTTTCTCCACTGCCAAGTTGAAGTGCTACTCATCCATCCTTGAGTTGGCAGAAAGTCATACCAGTGTGAAATGTGTTGCCACCATTGCTGATCCCTATCCTGACTCTATTGAATCTGTTCCAACTCACTGTCCTGATTATGCGTGCAGGGCATGACAGGTCAAGTTTTCCAGCTTTGCTGCCATCCCTTCTGCATGTCAATAACCACCAACAAAAAGATCTGTCAGTCAGGACACAACAGCAAGAATGTAAGTCCTTGCAGGACTCAGTTCGTCCTCTCTTCTGTTTCTCTTCCTACACTCCGTTCTAACATAATCTGAGCTGAATAAAGTAAAAAATAACTAAAACTCAGGGAACTTAATCATAAGCAACATTTTTACCTAGGGTATCTCCAGCTTAGCACTGATGTGTCCATTCCTTTAGGGAGACAGTAAGAGAATGGCAGCAGATCATGCCGACAAGGGACTCCAGAAGGGCACACCTGCCTCAACTTGAAATAGCTCAGAAGTGCTCATGACCACTAATAGGTGGCAAAGCAGAACAGATTTTGCACACTTTGCAGCTCTTGTTGGATGTTGTTGGCTTAAGGAGGGAAATATTACAGTACTGTAATACCAATAATGCTAAGGATGAGTTAAGCCTGTATCACTCATGCACTGGGTGCAGATGAAGGCAACGTCATGGGGTATGGCAGAAAAAAAAATGTTGCTAGGGCATATTTGTGCTGTGATTAGGTATAAGTGGGCAGACTGTCCAGAGCCCACTGTTTAAACTGTGTGCAGCACAAGGGTGCCACATGAAGGGGAGGGCACCAGTTACAAGACAAAATAAATGATTTTAATAGTGGACAAATGCACCTGTGTGCAGTTGAAATATGGAAAAAAATGTTTGTATGCCAGCCACGTCCCTGTAAGTGGGGTTGCAGAGATGTGGCAGCAAAAGAATTTCAGTTGGTATCATTGTTCTATGAGCTTCTGTGCAAAAGGTTTTTTGACCCAACAGCCAAATTAACTCCAGAAAGGGAAAAATTCTCATCTCCTATCAGCTGCTAATCAAAGATAATTTTCTCTGGTAGTAAGAAGTGCTAGTCGATCAGGGCCTGGGAAAAGAGTTACGGGAGCTCTATGGAAAGGGATTCAGGTGTCTCTAAGGCGCTTGCAGGCCAGTTGGGAACTTTCCCTGGCTCATTTTCCATGTTAGTGGAAAATTTCCTACAACCCTAACTTAGTCTAAGCAAGCACCCTGGGACATAAAATACACTCTTGGATTTCAGCATCTATACATGAACGTACAGTAGGTTTATGAGAAAATATGCCCGGCCCACCAGATCTAGTAGAGAGGACATGCTCCAGATCCTTTTTATTAAACAAAGCCATCTTCTTGGAACCTGAAGTTGTGCCTTCTCAGGAACAGCATCCTCCTGGAGATTCGGATGGCCCCAACCCTGTTAGCCTTTCACAAGGCATTGAAGACCTGGCTGTTTGGATCAGATGGGTAGATGAGCTCTATTACTATTGATAGTGAATGGACTTAACTGTTTATCCTTGAGCACTGGGGGGCTACGTTTGGTGGGTTTGTCTGCTTTAATCTTGTAAGTCACCCAGAGTCACTTATGTGACATGGATGGCTATATAAATCAGATGATAGATGATGATGATGATGATGATGATGATGATGATGATGATGATGATGATAGAGATGGATGGATGGATGGATGGATGGATGGATGGATGGATGGATGGATGATAGCTATCTTGCATTAAATTGGAAGACAGCTCTTCCACATGTAGGAGAAGCCTTTTGCTCCTAGAATGGCACCCAAGCCATAGAACAGGAAATAAATGTTACATTGGTTCAGTTTCCTTTCTCACAGATACAGTATAATGATAATGTCCCTGCTTTACAAGTGTGCCAAAGCTTTGGTCAGATTTTGTGCCCCCGGTGAATCTTCCAAGCACAGAGCTCCAAGAAACATCCCTTCACATAGCAGCTAAGCATGACTTTTATGATCACATGCATCTGTATTTGAGCCATGGCACTATTGTGGATAAAAAAAACAGCATGCAAGAGACAGCACTCAATGTAGCTTGCAGAAAAGCAAACAAAGCAAACAACCAAGACAGCTGCTTGCAAGTTTGCAAGCTGCTGCTTGGATATGGAGCAGATGCAAAGACTGTAGATGAAGAACTGAAGACTCCTCTGCACAAGGCTTGCAGGAACACTCACCGGGGCTTGGTCCTGCTCCTTCTGCAGAGGGAAGCTGATGTCAATGCAGTAGATTACAATGGGGCATATCCAATGTCCTGCACCTACAGACTGTGTTTTCTCACAAAGAGCTGAAGCCACATCTCACAGTGCAAACCTTGCTAACCATGGCTCTCAAAAAATATGACCAACAGAGTTTGTCAAGGTATTTAAACTCAAGGATAAACATTATTTAGGTTTATGTTTTTACTGTCTGAATTAGCTTTAAAATTCTGCACCTCCATTTAAATCCTTCCAGAGAGCAGAGCAAGGAAAGGCATCTGCACTGTAGAGGTCCCAAAGCCAGTAAGTCCTGGATAGTGGCTGACCAGCGGCAGGACTTTCCTCTCCTCTCCTCTATATCTCTCCCATACAGAGAAAGAATAAGAGAAAGAGGGGGATCAACCCATGGTAACAGGGAGAAGTTTCCTCTAGTACGGTCCCATGTCACTATCTTTTAGCTGCACTGGAAATGTTTTTTTCTTCCTAGTATTTTTCCCGCAGGTACAGGGTACACTTTTTTCAGATCAACCAAATATTGATCCATTGATTACGACAGGAATTGACCAGCCGGCTTGTCTCCCAAGACTGACATAAGGGACTGAGAAAGAGTGACTGGCCCAAAGTCTCCCAGCCGGCTTTCATGCCTAAGGCAGGACTAGAACTCACCATCTCCTGGGTTCTAGGCCAGCACCTTCACTACTAGACCAAACTGGCTCTCTTTTAGCTGTACTGGAATGATCAGGCCTAAAGGAGACAGTAAAAGACACTCATGTTCAACATCTCTAATCTGCAGGTTAAACTTTTGTTTTAAATAATTATGTGCAAAATGGCCCTCTAATGGCATGACATTTGCAAGGTTTGTAATAAGCATCATTTTAATGATGTGGAAACCTCTGATCCAAACTTTGCTTTTTAGAACCTATATCTTGACTAATGAGGAACTATCAAATAGGTAGGTTGTACTAAGAACTGTTTAAATAGAGAATAATAGGGGTACATTTATTTAGAAGCACCCCTGTACTCATTCCCCAGACAACTAACAGTAAAGGACTGGATTAGAGCTGGGGAGATCCAGATTCAAGTCCACCCTTGACCCTGGAAATTCAAGGAGTTGTTGTGGGGATAAAGTGAAGGGACATTCCCAGGCAAACTGTTTGAAGCTCCTGAAGAAAAGGATTGAATGTGATTCTTTACAAAAGTTAATTTAAAAAAATAAAATTGATAATTTTTTTCACAGTTCTAGTATCAGATTTAAAATAAGCAGGCACAGCCTGCAAAGAACTTAGTCTTCATACCACTTTCCTTTCTCTCACACATTATAAATTAGATGCACAAAAGAGAGAATCCGACATATTCCCTATGGCCCAGCACATATTTAACACTGATGTAGTTTGATTTAATCATGGTCTGGCATTATATCTGTACTACTACTAACCAGGCTTAGTTATACTGTAGATTGCCCATTTTAACCAGGTCTGGAAAGAATGGGCCTGCAGAGGCTTGCATAATCTCTTTAAATTAAGAGAGGTTGTAGACTGAATCGTGATTAGCATCAGGGCAGTTAATAAACTTTCATGGAAAAAACCTATCCAGGTGGTCACTAAGAGTCAACAATGACATGATGGCACATAATCAATCAGATAATAAACTTAAATTGTAATTGTAGCAAAAAGGCAAGACACAGAGAATTAATCTCAGGGAGAAGAAAGGAGCAAATCTTAAATTTGGCTCCTGATCATCGTTGTAGTAGTTGTAGTAGTGATAGCACATATTGCCGTGGCTATGCTGAAACATGAAACATCAGCCTGAAAGGCTCCCAGAATGGTTTACAGTATGATAAAAATCAGACAGTTCCTGTCCACAGATGTGACACAGAAGAAAAAGATGCGGGGGCACCAGTTCTTAATAATTATGATTAATATGCGTGTAACAAAGATAGGAAAAACAAGTATCACTGCAATCTACGTTTCTCTCACTTCTGGCTACAGGATGGAACAAAAAACAAATATTCATTTAATCACTGGTATGTGCCACAATCATCTAAGGTCTTCCCTCCTATGTGCTGAAATCTTGTGCCCCAGTGCCTGAAATGCTTTACAATTCCTACCCTCATCTGCCTATCTCAAAAAATTAGGTGAACGTTATTCCAAAGGAAGATTTTCAGGTAAGAGCTAATGTTATGGCAACCATGTATCTTGCACTGTTTTGTTCTTGGGAACATCTTTGATGTTGTGCCCAGAAATGCAGAGTGAGACTGGGTTAAATCAGTCAAAAGAAGGACATACTCTGCATATTGCCAGGAGAATCTTCTCAAAAGGATCTAACAATGCATTGTGAGTCAGGCTAAGAGATTGTTTTCATTAGCTTTTACCTATGCTTAAATGGAAATGCCATTTATTCACTCTGTATCCTTATGGCAATGATGTCTGACTTTTGCCACTGACATATGGACCATGCTTCACTCACAAATAACATATTGGACTGCATCTACTGCCTCGAACAAGCTTCTACTTCTATAGCACAGCTTGTCTGTTCTCCTCTTGTTCTCAGACCCCAGACACTTCCCAAATACTCCCTAAAGCAGATTGGATAGGGGAAGGGGTATCCACAAGGTATGGTAAAAAAAAAAAGTCATAATTATGACTATGATGGCATGATTGAAGCTATGTCTGTTTTTATATACACACCATCACAATCACCATCTTGACTTTTTTTTAACAACACTCTGCAGTCATGCCTGGATAGGGGTATTTGAGAAATTCTACTTTGCTGGCAGACACTGCAGATAGAGGGAAGGGAGTCATCCCTTCTCTGGCACTTTCATGTTGCAGAGCTAGCAGCAGGTTGTAGAACCTGTATTCTCTCAGTAATTTTTTTTTTAAAACAGCCTGATGTTATTGAGATTTGGAATATGAACTCTCAGATTTTGTAATCCTGAAAAAATGTTTACAAGCCAATGTACAATCCTACCATTAGTAACAATATTAATCACCTATTTTTGCCCAATTTAGTAATTTTGCACTTTGGAATTCTTAGCAACAAGTAAAATCTAATTTACATGTAAGTCAAAAATTGCCAAGCATGTCCAAAAGTCATATTTTATTTCGAAAGGGAAAAGTTATTTTTAAAATGAGAGGGATAGATAAAATGGAATTCGAAAGAGACAGACAAGAAAGTCAGATCTCTCTAGAACACTTGAGAGCTATTCAAACCACAGTAATAGAAGCTCAGCTAATACAGACATTTTAGCTTAGAAATTATCCATGCAGTCACCAATATGGCTAATGAGCAGTTTCAAGAAAGTTGTTTAAGAAATAACGCCTTCCTTCATAAAATGAGATCACAAGCTTGTATAAAAAATGCAAAAAAAAGAAAAAAGCCTGGAAGGAGCATATTGTTAATAAATTAAGGACTGATAATGTTTAAGTATCAGGAAATAATCTGGAAAATAGAAGAGAATGAGAAGCTGAATGAATTGTGTTTTTCTTTATTTTAGAAGAAATAGGGCAGATTCTAAAGCAGAATTCTTGATCCAGACAATTCTAATTTTGAAGTGGATCTGGATAACCAAAACAAGGGGTAATTTACCAGAGGTGGCAAAAGCTATGGCTCCTGAGTTCTGGTGTACTGCAAATGGTACTGCAGCAACCATGACAAAAAAAGGAAAGATAAATACAATTAATGTTACTGTACTGCCACTGTAATAAAGCTGAACAAAGACTCCCCTGGCCATGGTTTCCACCTGTGCATCCAGTAATAGCTGGAGTCCTAAAGAACTCCAGAGCCACAGACCTAATCCTTCATGGTGAGTGGCATCCATCCAGTTAGTTGGCACTCATCCAGGTAGTTGGGTCCATTGGATACCAGAGAATTTCGGGATAAAAAGCAATTCCATCTTGCTAGGGTTCAATCTAGAGCTAGAGCTCTCATAGTGGCTTCATGTGGGTGAAGTAGAGAAGAGAGAATTGAGCCCTGCAGCCTCCCACACTCACTGCCCAACAGTGCTCCCCATTCCAAGGCTTACAGGCAGTCCAGAAGGACACCATGTTGATGGTAATGAATGCTGCTGAGAGATCTAAAAGGACTCGGAAGGGTGCACTCTCCCCATCCAAGTCCTGACAAAAGACATCTAGTGACTAAACCTAAACCCTGATTGATGGTTCCAGGTAACAAATTTCCTGTAGGGCATTTTGTAACCGAAGCTTCATCATCTTCTTAGCAATGTCCCTCTAAAATAGGAAGGCTGGAGACTGCATGCCAGTTGTTTGAAATTGCTGGATCCATGGAAGACCACCTCCTCCTTCAAGGCATTTGTCAGAACCCCTCTCCTAGTAAGGCATTAACTACTCCCCCGATCCAGCAACTGAAATCTCTTCCCACCTGACAAAGAAAGCCAAAGACAAAGGGAGGAGCATGGGTCCCATTCAAGGTGACAGTGCTCATTCTAGACAACACTCTACTTCATCAGAGTTCACAGTGTGAAAAGACCCACATCACATTGCAAGGCATCGCCACTTCAAACCCCATCCATGTGAGTCAAGACTTAGGCAAATCTGAGTAGTTTTATCAGCACAATGTTGTGATGTATCATAGTGGCTCAGTGGCGGTTCTTCCTGTACATCCTTCCCTAAAAAGAACTTTACTACCTTGAACAGGGCTGCTGGGTAATAGCTGTTGGCGTAAGAAAAACAAAAAAGTATTGATACTTTGCCATCCTTTTCATCAGAGAGTGCCCAAACATGGGCTTTTACTCATGCTCAGTCAAATTCACTTTTTGTCCTTCAGGCATCTCTTATTGCTGCTTCATCTTCCAGAGCTCCTCAGCAAACCAGGAATACACTAGGAAAGATTGGAGGCCACCAGCGGTGAGTCACATCAACCACTCTGTTACCTCCTGATTCTAGAGGGCAACCAGATAACCGAATTGCTGCCAGGTCATTGGCAAAATGTCCAAGCACTCAACAGAATCCATCTAGGTCCACAAGGCACCTCAAGCAGACCATCGTGATCATCTGGGGGCAGCAAAGGAATAATAGTGCTGTCCTCCATGATCAGATCACAGTACCACTCTAAAGAAAATCCTCCTCCTCCTCCATAATCTCCTCCTCCTCCTGTGAATAACTGGGACAAGCTCATGGTCATCATGAAAGCTTTGAATTCCTGTGTCTTCCCAGAGAATGGGGATTGAAATCCCCAAAACAAACAGTCAAGGGCATTCCTGAAAATTAGGTCCAGGAGCTCCGACAGAGGTTC